GGGGGGTCACTGTGGTCACTGCTCCCTGAGCCACGGGGGTCACTGTGCTGTGCCAGTGGTCACTGCCATCCCGTGCCAGCCCCTTCTGGGACCCCCCTGGGCACTCAGCTGACTCAGGTACAGGTGCAACTGCCACTGCAAACTGTCACTTGTCACTTGGGGCTGTCAGATCCCCAAGTGGAAGCAGCACTGAGCCACGCCTGCCGAGGCTGCCAGGCCCGGCCCTGACCATGGGGGCTCCCGTGTGCCAAGGAGATGGCCCTGGCCTCACTCGGCCACTGTCCAGCACGGGGARGCTGCTGCCAGGTGGACTTTAGCCAAGGCCACAGGCTCCTGCCCTTCACCCCGTGCAGCAGCGTGGGGGGACACTCGTACCTGGCAGCATGTCATCGAAGCTGGAGCGCGCTTCGGGGTGGCGCAGCAGCGACTTTGGAGTGAAGATTATCAGCTGCAGGGGGGATAAGAGGGACAGCAAAGTGGTCAGTCCTGCCTGAAACACCTCCGCTGACCATCCTGCCCACCCTCCCCGGTCCACCGTACCTGTCCATCCATCCTGCCCACCCTGCCCATCCTGCCCTCCCGACCCATCCTGCCTGTCCACCCTGCCCTCCCCTGCCCACCCTCCCTGAGTGTGGCAGCAGCTGCCACATTTGCTCCCCACGCAGCTGCAGTGCTCTGCCAGGTCGGGCACCCATCACTGATATCGCAACCAGGGTGTTCCCTGGGGAGGAGGCTGAGGGGCCACCCAGCACCTGCCTGTCCCATGGCTGGAGCTGACTGGAAGTGGCTRAATTAGGTTATTGGTCAGTCCTGCCCTCCCCGTGGAGTTTGGGAAGGGGTCCCAGCCCCCGTGAGCCAGCAGCTGCACGTGGAGTGCCAGGCCAGTCCTGAGCCCCACGAGCTCATCAACCACGCAGAGCCCAACTGCCCGTGCTGGGGGTGCCCAACAGCTGCCCCCAGCYCCACCCCAGCCAGGCAGGGACACCAGATGTGCCCGGGCACCGAGCTGGGTGCAGAGGTGCTGGCACTGACCGGTTTGCGGAAGGGCAGCAGGATCTGGCGCCGCAGGACGTGGAAGAAGTTGGCTGGAGTGGAGCAGTTGACGACGATCCAGTTGCACTCGTAGAGCTGGCGCACATCGAAGTCATCCAGCTTCTGCCTCGGCCAGCACGGGGGTGAGGGCATTTAGGGAAACACACGGTGCCTCTTGGCCTTGTGCCTCCAGCC